GACCATTCTTAATACGACTTTCAAGGTAAGCGAGATATTTATGAACTGATTTTATCTGTTGAACTCTACCTCCGTGACCGAAGAGTGATTTGAACCCAGGTCTCCTGAGTCCTAGTCCTTTACTCTACCCACTATACTACACTGGCTATGCTAGCTCTCTACAAAAAGTAGTGAGTTTTGTTTAGATTCTTGGTTGTTTTACAAAAAATAGTTGCACTTTTGGAGCTGCACACTCTTTATCTTGCATCTAGTTCACCAACTGTTGGGCATACCCACTCCAATCGGACATCTTCCTCTTCAATGGATCTTCTTTTCACTTGGGATCTCAATGTAAGGCCTTTTGTGCATTGCTCAGACTTCTTGACAGGTTTTGCAACAACATTTTCAACTCCCTTCTTGTGCCTGTATAATAAAGTGGTGCCTCGCATGACAATGTTAATTCATTCTGCGAAAATCGCTGTAAAACAAAATGTCGTCATGCGATTTTAAAAAGCCCACAGAAACGCATTAAAACCCAATTAATGCATTCCTAAGGGCTTCAAACTCACAGTCCAGTGAAGATCCTCCATAGCGCGGCCATTTTCGCTGCCCGTGCAGCGAGGAATCCGTGCCAGAAAACAGTGGGCGGCCATTTTTTAACCCAGCGGCCATTTTGAAACCGCCGAGCAGCTATGTGAAAATCATCGCGTTGCGATTTATGTATTTATTTATTTATTTTATTTCTATCCCGCCTATCTGATCATATTAGACCACTCTAGGCGGCTTACAATAAAAACAACAATGTAATTTGAAGACATTACTACTAAGACATAGATGAAGATAGGGAACAAAATAAAAGAAAAAGAAAAAGATCGTCAAGGGTTTTCTGTTGGGAAGGCCTGCCTATACATCAGTGTTTTTAGTTGTTTCTTAAAAGTGCCCAGTGAGGGAGTCGCACGAATCTCAGGGGGTAAGTTGTTCCAAAGCCGAGGAGCCACCACCGAGAAAGCCTGATTTCTGGTCTTTTCCTTTCGGGCCTCTCTCGGCGTTAGGCTCCTCAGCCTCACCTCCTGGCTCGCGCGAGTGACACGGGTAGATCTTGGTGGGAGAAGGCGTTCCACCAAGTATCAAGGTCCTAAACCGTTTAGGGCTTTATAGGTAAGCATTAACACTTTGAAATCGATGCGGAATCGGATGGGCAGCTAATACCGAAACAGGGGACCGATCATCGCAAAGCGAAATTCCCCCATAGGGAACATCATTTTGCGATCACTTTTGCAATCGCAAAAACATCGACGTAAATCGATTTCGTAATCAAACGGAGTGCTCATAATGCGAGGCACCACTGTACTTCATGTATCTAGCAGACTAATTTGTGATAATGAATGGATAGAAGATGTGTAAAACATACTGTTGGAAGACAAACAAGACCTACAAGATTAAGGTTACTGTAAACTATGGCCCTTCAAATGTTTCTCTTGCTATCCCCAGTCAGCTGGGCTAATGGCATAGGATACTGGGTACAGCAGGTCACAAATATTTCTTCTTACACATAGAGGTGTAGAATTGTACCATGTGTACTCAGGGGAATCACAACAGGGATACCTTTATTTGCAATCTCTTCCTTAGTAATCCCTAGTATACAATTTGGCTGTAGAAGCACCACATACAGAGCTGTTGTTTTCAGGGGCACCAAAATATTTTCAATAGTCAGTCCCAATAATGCACGTGGATTATGAGCCATAATGTGTATCACTATTTTACACTGAACATCAGTTATTATTTTGTTTATCATTAATTCCAGTTTGAGAGACTTCCACAGCTCTTGATAGTCTACTAGGATTTTCACCATACAAATAACTATGCAACCTGAAAAGTTGGCTATTTCACTGCTCACAAATAATATTTATTAATATGCCACCCTGATGAAGACAGAATGTGCTCTGTTCACAACCTATTCAGTTTTGGCACCAATGATGAATAGAACTGCATTTGCACCAGTGTTTTCATATCACTTTGTAAACCTATGTCCAACCATAGTTAGAAACTCACTTGATATTAACCATGGTTAGTCTTTGGTTCATCCTGCAGCTTTCTATACTAGCCCATTTTACAATGGTTAGTCTTTGGTTCATCCTGCAGCTTCTGTTTATAAGCCTAATCTCAACACTCAGAGTCTTAAACTGAGCAATGCCAAATATTTGGCATCCACTGGCACCGATTTCTATACTAGCCCATTTTACGGGGAAATCTGTCAGTTTCAAACTGTGACTGCAGCACTTTGTCCAATCCTTCTGCAATTCCTTGTTAAGCTGCTGAAGAAGATCTTTCCTGGTGCCACTCTGCAACAACACATCCTCAATTTTGACAACTTTAAAACTTTTCAGTTGTCTAGCACCCAGGGATGTTGGCAAGTCTTTGGGTCTAAGTCCCAACTCTAAGTCCCAACTACAGGTCTTTGGTAATAAGTCCCGAGTCCCAAGCCCGTGTCCCTATTAAAAACAAGATTTTTCCCCCCAGAAAGAAGGAGGGGTGGATGGGTTCCAAGTCACGAGTCTAAGTCATTAAAATAAAAAGGTTACCAGTATGACAAGTCCAAATAGATAGCGAGTCCTGTGACTCAAGTCCTAATGCCACTGGCACCATGTTTAGAGCTCCAGGGACTGAAGAGCAAAGAACTCAGAATTTTTTCTGCCGGAGAGTGCAAGGTCATGCCCACTGGTCCGCTCATAACCACATTTTATTATGCAGTATCTACATTCCATTTTGTTCAAATAATTTGCTTTTATGTATACCCTAAAGTGCTTATAGCCAGGTGAAAAGGAACAGCCACAGTTCATGTGACCATAGTGCTTGCTAGTAAGCTACACCCCCTTTGTCTTGTATTGTGAAAAAAAGCGCAAATAACTAGAAAAATAACGAAGTCATTCCTCTGTTCATAAAAGTTAGAATAAAATCTCTTACAGATCTATTAACATGTTTCAAGGGCAGTAAGATTATTAACATTTAACCAAAAACTGAAGCTCACTTACTTTACCCACAGTTCAAGACAAACTTCAATGCTACCAAACTTCATTAAATTTCAACTAACCTAATTTTGAAACAATTTATACTTACAGAAATGATTAGCATTCACTATACTGCTAGTTTATATATCAACCAGTAATCTAATATTTAAGAAAGGTGCAATACTTACACTGAACATTTTCTGCCACACATGAATTACTGTGTATAAGCAGCGTACTGTCCCACAATGCCTCACTCAAGTAAATGCTACATTCCAAAGCTTATCCTAGAAACTCATACAGTATGCACACTTGGGAGCTCAGGATTTTTAGTTGGAATGCACCAGCCATCTCATTTTCCATTTGAAGCTCTGGTCTTTGAACTGTGATTTATATGAAACTACTACCCATGATTTACTATGCATCAACTTCCTGAGAAAACAACCCACTATACTGTAGTTGTTTAAACTGTAACATTGTACAGCCATTTAAACTGTTTCAAAAACTGATTATAGTTGACACAAATGTGTAAGAAGGTGGCTTCTTTTCCTAGTGGACAGTCCCCTGGGGAGGGGATTTTCAATAGAAAAGATGATTTGCAAGGTGGATTTGGAATGGAGAGATCAAGTGTTATGTCTACTGCCAGTTTCTCTCAAAAAGTTACTCTCCCTAGGAAAAGCAACTAACATATTATACATATTGGCCAAAGTCCTGTTGCTTCGCATAGTATATTGCACTAGAACAGGCCCACTGAATCAGTGCAGATTTGTTGAGTTAACTATAAGTTGCAATGCTTCAAGTGTGCCTACTGACTGCAACTTACTTTAGCACAAATAACTGTCAGAGTAGCCCAAGTGAACTAATGGAACCTAGGGAGGAGTGGTCTCATTAAATCTTCATTAATTCAATGGGGTTAATCTAGTGCTAAGCAACAGGATTTTGCCCATTATATCTAATATTTAACAAGCCCCTGATAGTCTAATGACAAAAGTTTACATTGTGTGGTGTTCCATACCACAATTAGCCCACTTTAACTTACAATATAAACTGAATCAAACTGTAACATTCTTCCTAACTCTGTGTTTTTGTGACAGGGAGAGGGGATGTCTGCTTGTCTTTAAAATTCCTTCAAAATGTGTTCCTCCCTATGAAAAACACTTGGGGGATGAGAGAGAGACCATCTGCCACTATGTTAATTTTTTTAAAGAAACGGGTGGGGATTCTCTCCATGGTGAGCATCTGGAGATACAAGTCACCTTGGCATCTTGCAGAAGTCCAGTTCAGGCAAAATTCAATTCATTCCAATGCTGAAATGAAGAAACCTCCTCTAATTAAAGACTGCAGTTGTGAAGTAAAGATTGCAATTAGTTTTGTGCACATATCCCTGCATACCAAAGAACACATCTTGCATCCCCCCCCTTAACCGAGCCAACCCATCTCTATTTGTTTTTGGATGCAAAATCGCCAAAGCTGAGCGACTGTAATTCCACCCACATACGAGTGGAAAAAGAAAACAGCTGCCCAATCATTAACCCCAGGACACTATGAGTATGCAGAAAGTAGCTCGCTATCTGGCTAGTGAGGAAGCTGGTAGACGAAATCAAATCGCTGCCTCTACAACCCAAAACGAAGTGCTGCACCTCCCCAGCCAGGCGTAAACTCCCCTTGCACAGAGGCAACCATTACCCAATGGCCACATTCAAGTAAGATCCATTTGGGCACATTGGTGTTAAGGCGTGTGGCCAGTCTCGAAAAACGATGAAGTAGCCACACACACACACAAAGAAGTGCAACTCCATTTTCCACTCGCTCCAATCCCGGGATAACGGCTTTTCCCTCCCGGGCAGCCAGCTACGAGAGCCTTGCGGTGCCCTCGCCCTGCGTTCTCTGGTTTTTTCAGCAGCAACTTAAGAATTAGGGGCCATAGGAGGGACACTCCTGGCAGCTTACCGCTCAGGCAACCTAAAAGCCCGAGAGATCCTCCCGACCTCGACCCAGCCTCCCGAGAAGACTTACCGGCGTCCTCCCCGAGCGGCTCCCCGCCTCCTCCCGGTGCTTCGTCTTCCCGCAGCCAGCGCCTCTATCCATCCACTCACGGGGTCGGGGGGAGGTAAAAATCGCTAGCTTGGCCCCTGTAATTCCACCGCTGTGTTTCATGCACACACACACACACACACACGCCGCCTTTCTGTCCACCCGGGACAAAGGCAAGAGGGTTGGACCGCAGGCGTTCCCTCACAGAAATATAGGAAACCCGCCCGCACAAAATAAGCCGGGCCGGGATACTGGGGCGGGCAGACACTCCGGCGAGTCCCCCGCTCGCTCGCTGCCTGGGGCCCCCTTTGTTCGGCTTCGGCGGCGGAGCTCTTCCCGCGGCTTCTGTGCAGACTCCTCCTCAAAGCCCGCGGGCCTCGTCAGCGGCTCTCCTGAGGGAAGCTTCCCTTTAACCGTC